ACTCGACTTCTCCGTCTGCTCTCTTCCTGCCTCAGCAGCAATGAGACCCTCCTGCTGCTGTCGCTGCTCTTATGCTCACAAAGATAGCGCAAGAGCCCCCGAGTCCACCACCCTTCAATATAAATATTCTCAGGGCTACTTGCACCAATAGAAAGCATCAGATATAACAATATACTGTAATATTTATTTCATCACCTCATTCCACAAAGATCTGATTGTTATTTATATCATTACAGGAAAAGTATACAGCAGAGGTTTCCAAACATTTCATGTTGGTGACACACTTTTTAGTCATGCATCATTTGCAACACAGTCATTCAGTTTTACTAGCAAACCGGAGGTTAAACTAACCCCTTTCCAGCCTCTGGAGCAGCGCGGGGACTGTTTGCGCAACACACACACTGCAGCCGACACACATGTTTGGAAAGCTAGTAAACAGAATACATACCAACTGAAGACAATCATGTAAGGTATTGAAAATTTAAAACAACAAAATAGCCTTGACATAACAGTTCAGCAAACACCACCTGCCAGCAGCAGAAGAGAGACCTCAACCATCAAATGTCTGGGAATCAAGAACAGTCTTGCCCTGGCAACCCCCCCAAAAATGGCAGTGGTAATGCCAAGTGGGCCTCCTTGGGAGGGGCACTCCTGAAAATACCCTTTCTCCTGTACTGGAGGGGGAACTCTGAAGAGAAGAGCCTGGCTGTCAGATTAGATATATGATCCATCTAGCCCAGTCTCCTGTGTTCACAAAAGCCAATCGGATGCCCCAAAGCAAAGCTCTCAAGCATGATCCTGGTGTACCAGCCCACCTGCAGTTTCTAGCAGCTGGTGCTATTCATAAGCATATACCCACTGGCCATCCCAGCAGTGATCCAATAGGAGAGCACATGGAATAGGTTGGAGTGGAGAGCCACTTCTTTCTCCTCAGCTGCTTTCTCTGCTCACCAGCATTAAAAGGCCATATAATGGGTATGGAGGCAGGCAGGAACCAGACACAAACAGTTACCGTACTTCCTTTAAACTTCTGTAATTTCAAGAATGTACTACCAGCAGGTGTCGCCTTTTTGTATGAGCTGCTTACTGGATGCATTTGTAACTTCAAGGAATAGTCATCCCACATTCAAGAGGTTCACTGAAGGCACTTTGTGGGGAATGGGATGTCAAAAGTGGATTCAAGAGGTTCTCTAGTTGGATTTCCAAGTGGGCATCATTGTCAAAGCCACAAACACAGCTCTTGTGCCAGACTCCAAACTAAAGTGAAGATGTAGAAAACATTCAGTCTCTGGCACACTAGTAACTTGATTGAAGGAGGCACTCCTTCACCAGGAAATAAAGTTTGATAACAATGATGGCCAGCCATTTCCTTTCTCTTTGGATGTGAGTGCCTGACCCTCTCCCCCCGCCCACACACATCCTGTCCTGAAACTATGCCACCCTGTTCTCTGTGGGCTTCATCCATGCAGTGAAAGAGCATAGGTGGTGTAGGGTGGTACAGGGCTGAAAGATGGTCACATTTCACTATAGCTGAGGGTCTAGTGATAGAACACAGGTCCTGAGGGTGTGAACCTGGAAGTCATTGATTCAACTCTCAACTCAGCCATCTCAACTCATGGCAAGAGAACATCTAACTGGTTTTCTGGCCTTTTATGCCTTTTGGTTTTCTCGCCCCAGAGGGTATGGGGCTCTAGTCTACAGATGTTTGCACTCATGAGATAGCCTGGGCTGTACTTTCAAAACAATTAACCAGCTTAGATCTTTGCATGAGATTTGAACATATCTTTCTTGAAAATGCTGAGCAGAGCAGATCGGAGCTTCTGAGTAGAGCTCTGATTGGAACTGATTAGCATCTGTGGCTGCATCACATGCCAGGAAGGGATGGGGTTGAGTGAGGCAGGCATCAGCTCAAGGCTGCAAGGTGCTGGCCTAAGGTGCGGAGAAGGTGTTTGGCATTCTTTGGGTTAGAAATGTCTCAGTATCTCACCCTCCTACTACTCTCCTTGCCTCCCAACTTGGGAAGAGTTATTGAGCAGAATGAAGAAGGTCTAAGAGAAAGGAAGCACAGTTGCCAAAGGCTGGTTGGCCCTCTCCCCCAACCTCCAGCAAAAGACTTGCATGATGCTGCTTGCATTTGCCTGAGGCAAGATTATCGTGTGTGGGGGTGGGGGGGGTGCTTTCAGCACTGATCTACTGATTGCTGCCCTCCCTCACAGCAGCATGGAAGAAGTCTGCAGAGATGTGTGTTGCTGCTGCCACTGCTGCTGCACCACACAGATAATAAAACATCCTTCCTGGCAGCAGTCATGGACGATAAACAGCCCCAGCTTGGGTCATTTTGAGTTTGCAGTTGGCCACTCTCACACTGGAGGCAACACAATCTAATTTAGGCTAATAGTGTCTGTTGTAAAACCCCTCCCACCTGGGAAAGACAAGGCCAAGACTAACCAGTTCCTCATACCTGATCAATAGCAATTTGGTGAGGGTGGGGAGAGTGTTTTTTCCTCTGACCATGGGAAAGGAGCCGAGCTAACGGAGGTAGTCTTGAATGTGGTGTTGGAGAATCCCTTCATGGCAGTTCTGGTGGCTTCAATGTCCATGCTGAGGCCAGCCTAGGACTTCACGGCCCATATGATAACCACAAAGCTGTCTCAGCACATCACTGGGCCAGCACATATGGCTGGGGATGGGCTTCACACGCTGTAGGGGGTGCTTATTGTGAATCCATCATCACCGACAGAGCATTCCCTGGTGAGGTTTGGGCTGAAAGCAGCTACTGCATGCTGCAGTGCCGGAGGAACTTCAGATGGTCAGCCTTCGGAGACCAATGAAATCTGATGGACGCCTGAATTCTCTGGTGGATTTGCAGATATTAAATCCCCCTGCAATACAAGAAACTGCACCAAGAGCTGTTTCAAGGATACAGCTCAACCCTCCCTGGCTCCTTGATCTTCTTGACTTTTGTTGTGGGTGGCAGCTACCAGGCCCAGCAACCTCAGATGCCCAAGAAGGCTGGGCCTGTGAGTCACCACTCCATCACCTTTCCCAAGGGGTGGCAGCAGCAGCAGCAGCACTGCAGGGTTCTGGTGGGGGACAGGGAACAGAGAACGCAAAGGGCATCTGTTCTGAGTGTGACTTTATTCCAGTTGCAAGCAGAACTCACTGGAAAGAAGCAGGCACCTCAAGTGAGGAAGCCGCCGTGTTGTGGTTTTTGCATCTGCTCTCCAACACTGTACTACCCCCTGCCAACCCGGCTGCACATACTCCAACTATCAGCTCTGAGTCTCCCACTGCAACACAGCTCCCAAATGCTCCTCTGCCTCCTTTCTTCCAGGGATGCCCCCTTCCAAGGCCAGACAAGAGAGAGCCCTAGCCATCAAGTCACACTGACAGTCTTTTGTCCAGCCCCACTGGGGAAATATCCATCCATCGAGACATCAGCCCAGCCATGGTCAGGGCAACAGGGCTCGCCTTGATCTGTGGGTGGGGGTCAGACATGGCTAGTGGGGCCCAGAACAGCCTGGGGGGGTGTCCTTTGCAGCCTGGCCCGGCCCCCATGCTGAGATGCTCTGCAGCAGCTGCTCAGCAGCAGGCCTGGAGCCTGGCTGGCTGTGGCCACCTCCCAAGGCGCAGTAATCATTGCTGCCAAAGAGGAGGAGGAGGGCGGGTGTCTCCGTCTCCAGTGGGCCCTGTTCTTGGAAGGTGAAGCCCCACTCGCATGGCAAAGAAGAAGAGCTCTCCTGCTCTGTTTCCCCAGAGGGAAGGGGTACCTCTGCTTCAGGCTCCGGCTGTTTCAGGTCTCCCTCGAGGCCTCTCTGTTTGCTGGCCATATATTGATAGTCTGGCATCTCAGGTGGGGGGCAACTGCTCTCTTTGGACAGGGCCTCATCCTCTGGCAGCGGCTGGCAGAAGGAAAGCCGGGAAATGCCTGCTGGGGGGGCTTTATCCTCATCACCCCCCTTGCTGTGGTCCCAGGGCATCTCCTTGCCCTCGTTGCCACCGCTCTTTTCTGCCAGGCCAGCCCAGCGCTGGAAGAGAGCAGAAAATAGCCTTAGGTTCCTCACCTGGAATGGCTTTCCATGCCAGAAGCCAGCATGGGCATGATCCTGCTGCCCCCTCGGCTACTGCTGGAGTCAGTGTGCACCTCTTCTTGGGCTTCTTGCTACTTGCAGGGTGTGTGTCTATGTCCATTCCTAGACAGCTGGAGAACTTGGTTGCTTGAGATTAGTTTCTTTTATTTACATGAATTATGCGCTGCTTCAGATTTCCAAAACTACATTTCGGAAACTACAACTAATCCATAATGCAGCAGCTGGACTGGTGACTGGGGGCAGGCGCTGGGACCATACACACTGGTCCTGAAATATCTACATTGGCTCCCGGTATGTTTTCAAACAAAATTCAAAGTGTTGATGCTGACCTTTAAAGCTCTAAGCGGCCTTGGCCCTCTATACCTGGAGTGTCTCCACTCCCATTGTTCAGCCTGGACACTGAAATCTAGTGCTGAGGGCCTTCAGCGGTTCCCTCACTGTGAGAAGTGAGGTTATAGGGAACTAGGAAAGGCTTTCTCAGTAGTGGCATCCACCCTGTGGAACGCCCTCCCATCAGATGTCAAGGAGATACAGTAAGTAACTATAAAACCTTTAGAAGACATCTGAAGGCAGCCCTGCATAGGGAAGTTTTTAGTGTTTAATGTTTTATTATGTTTTTATATATGCTGGAAGCTATTCAGACTGGCTGGGGCAACCCAGTCAGATGGGTGGAGTACAAATAATGAAAATATTATGATGATGATGATGATGATGATGATGATTCCAAAGAATTCTCCAAGCAGTTTACAACCTGTCTTCAGGTGAGGAGGCCAGGTCCTGCCTAGGCCACAAAGCTGCCAGCCTGACACCCACATCTCCCACCACTACCAGAGAGGGACCAGGAAGACTCCCAGACAACAATACCAAAACCTTGCCCAGGAAGCCATCTCTGCAGCTGAAACCCCCTTCTCTTCTGAAAGGATGGGACGCCCACTTCTCCATGGCAGCTTGAGAATTACACCCCACCCTCCCCGGCTTGGTACTTAGCCATCATCAGGTTCAATGTGGCTGATCCCGAGATCATGGTTGTTACCTTGAAATCCCCACTGTGTGAGAGATAAAGGGGCTGGAAATAAGCTGCTGGGCTGGGGATGTTTGCGCTGCAATGGCCCTTGGACCTGTGGAAAGAGAGAACCACAGCCCATGGGAAAAACCCCTTCTCTTCTTCCAGCCTCCCACAGTCCATCTTCCCTGGATGCTGGTGGTGTACAAATAATTGTCTCCTCCTTCTGCAGAAGCATTGTGCGCCCCTATTCCACCTCCTTGGTGCATGTCAACCCCAGTGAGGAAAAGAGAAAGCACAGGCAACCTCCTGCCCACTTGCTGGGCCAATTTGGAGCTGGAGAGTAGAGTCTGGTTGTATGCAAATGCCCTAGAAGGGCAGGTGTTCACGCAACTGAAGGAAGTGGTGCCTCCATGCACACAAAAGGCTGAGCATCAGCCACACCCAATCTGAGAGCCAGTTCCCACTTCAGGGCAGGGCAGAAGGAGATAGATATACTGTAGTCTGTGTGCCTTTTATGTGACAGATACCCCTTTCCTGCTGTGAGAACCACAAAAGCCTCCCTTTGCTGTGTCTCTATTTTCTGTGCTTGTGCATGCACTAGGCACATTGTGTGGGCGCGAGGGAGTGCAACCCAGGGTAGCAAAGCCCTGGGCCAGAGACCCCTACTCCTTATCTGACCTCATGCGATGAGCAAAACACAAATACTGGTGCCTGGGCCCTCCTGGCTGCCTGTATGCAACATCTCCAGGCGAAATGAATGAATGAATGAATGAATGAGTGATATACCTCCAGAAGATTGTGAGTACCAGGAGCAGCAATAGCAGGATGCCCAGGCAGAGAAAGAGCAGGTTGAACACATGCTTCAGGAGGTGGGACTCCCGATGCTGCTGCCGCCCGTTGCCTGTGGATGGAATCATCAGCACATCAGTACAGTGGAGGATTGCCCTCGGTTTGCCAGAAAAGGAGCTGGCGACCAAAGGAATGAGCACAGTTGCCTTTTTGTGGGTTTCACTTTGGAACAGCAAACAAGCAGACACACATTTCACCAAGAGCTTATTCAGCCTGTGTGGTGTGTGGGATATATTCAGCTCCAGTAAAATACTAAATAAATCTTTGGGGGGTGAAACTGGTAGCCGCAGAGAGTCTGTGTCTTGCCTGGGAAGGCAGATTTTTAAAATCTGTCCCTTGAGAAGCTCACCTGACTAGTTCCGTGGAACACCAAAGACCTTCCCCCCAAGAGATGTGACCCTGTTTTTTTAAATGTGGGGGGGGGCTTTGTTTTGTGAGTTGTAATTTCCTTTGAGCTTAAGAAAAACAAAACCTATGACACAAATGAGTGCAAGCAAGAGAAGTGGAATTTGTGTGTGTGTGGACCTGGGTGTGTGGCACATCAAATGCAGCACAGCTTTGTACCAGACCTGGGGGGGCTTTCCACTTGGTGGTGGTGCTCCACGGACTCCACTGGCTTCTGTAGTGCATATTCACATCTGGAGTTTTGCAGCGAATTCTTGCCACATACTCTACGCCAGACTCGAACTCGAAGCCCTCAATTTCCACCCATGTTTCTTTGTTGACCCAGACCTTGTTCTGTGCCTGCTGTGAAGGATTGGAGCACAAGCAATGATCCCATTAGACAGAATTCAGTTGGGCAGGCCCTGTAAAAGGTAAAGGGACCCCTGACCATTAGGTCCAGTTGTGGACGAGTCTGGGGTTGTGGCGCTCATCTCGCTTTACTGGCTGAGGGAGCCAGCGTACAGCTTCCAGGTCATGTGGCCAGCATGATTAAGCCGCTTCTGGCAAACCAGAGCAGCGCACGGAAACACCGTTTACCTTCCCACCAGAGTGGTACCTATTTATCTACTTGCACTTTGATGTGCTTTCGAACTGCTAGGTTGGCAGGAGCAAGGACCGGACAATGGGAGCTCACCGCGGGGATTCGAACCGCCGACCTTCTGATCGGCAAGCCCTAGGCTCTGTGGTTTAACCCACAGTGCCACCCGCCACCCGTGTTTCTTTGTTGACCTAGACCTTGTTCTGTGCCTGCTGTGAAGGATAGGAGCACAAGCAATGATCCCATTAGACAGAATTCAGTTGGGCGGGCCCTGTGAGTCATAGCAAATGCCAGAAGGAGATGGGGGCTTCCGGGTGGAGACCTTATGCCGCTAACAGCTTGTTCAGACTCAACGTTTGCTTGTGCTTCCATCCAACCCCATTTTCTCAGTTGTAGATATCCCTGCTGCTCAGCCATTTGCCATCCTCAGAGAGATGGCAGATGAGTCAGTGTGCAAACCTTGACCAGACGTCTCTGTGCTGTGTGTCAGCCAAGACCCCTCCTGTCTCCTATCCTCCAGGGCATTGTGATCCTTGAGAAGGCAAGAGGTGGCGAAATGCCTCCTGCTCTCAGCCCATTTCAGTGGCCTCTTACCTCCCATGGTGCTTCTGTGGTCTTGAATGCCAGTTCCCATTGCCAGTCGTCCAGGAAAATGTCTTCATAGGCCTCTGGCCTCCTCCACTGCATCCAGCACTTGCTGGAACTCATATTGCTCTGCAGGTCAAACGGTGGCTCACATTTGACTGGAACGAGATGGAGAGCGGAGAGGAGCTGCTGCTGGAAGCCAAGAAGACCCCCACCCACCCAAAAGCAACACAGTGTGTATGTGTGCGCTCCTGGGACATCCTCCAGGGAGCTGCTGCTGCTGCTGCTCAGGGAGAACTCAGCAGGGCTCACCAGGATGTCCAGGGCTGGGAAAAGCTCAGAAAGAGAGGTGGAGGGGAGGGAAAAGGCTGGGGGCAAACAGACAGTCCCCAGCAGCTGGACGACACAAGGACCCTTGCCTCCAACCATGGCTACTCTCCCATCCTGGAGAAGTTTGAGTCAGTCCCTCCACATGCAAGAAGACTCACTGTGCAGCCTGGGCTCATACATCGCAAAGACGATGAGTCCGTTTCCAGAGGAGGAGGAGGCATACAAGGAGACGCTGTACTCATCATTCTCTGTGAACTCGCCCTCTTCACTATTCACAGAGCAGCTGAACTGGTCCAGGGCCTCCTCAGAGAGATGGCAGATGAGGTCACTGTTGAGACCGAGGAGGCTGCAAAACAGAGGAGAGGAGGAAGAAGGTCCTTCTTTGGGGTGGCCGCCCAGCATGAAGCATGGCTGGGGGAATGTGGCCGGCCGCCATGAGAGAAGGAAAGAATGCCTCTGAGCATATGGAGAGTAACTCCTATCACAACAGTCACATACCGGGACTTCCTGACTGAAGTGTCTGACTGTGTGTCCGAAAGGGACGAAAGGAGGAAGGGACAGGGATTTGTTTCCATGCAACCTGAAAATCTAATGGTGCACCTTGGAGAAATTGCCCGGAGGTGCCACCAGGGAAGAGACTCAGACAAACCTCTGGGGGCTGGGATGGGTGTGGTATTGGGCAGAGCAGCCTTTGACTCTGTGGTTGTGTTTTCTCCCAAGAAGATATACCCTGCTGTGGCTGTTGCTTTTTGCCCCTTATGCTCCAGCCAAAGTCCTGGGAAGTCTGCTCTCTGGCTCCTGAAACCCATCAATCACCAACATCCCCTGGACTGTGCTGGCATCTCCTTTTCCCCACAGCTTGCAACCACAGATGAGAGCTACACTGCCCAGGAAACCAGAGCCACCCTGCAAGAAACCTGGCTCCTAACAGCCCTCAGTCAGCCCAGCAGAGACCAGGGCTTGGTGTCCCTGCCCTTACTCAGAGAAATTGAGGTGGAAGGGTCCCTCTCCCAGGATCTCGTCACGGCGGTGCCATGTGCAATTCACCCTGCGGCCCTGCAGCCCATAATTGTTCAGGCATCGCACACTGTTGTTGGAGAGCCCTGCCAGGAGACAGAGAAAAGAGGGGAATGGGTTCAGAAGCCAGCCGCACCCTCATCAGTCCAGCACCACTCCCACCCTCCCTCCTGAAATTTGGCTTGCGTTTATTCCAATTGTGCTATGAGGTGGCACTGGGAAGAAGAGAAGAGGTTGCAGATGCTTTGGGGACAAGAGCATAAGAACACAAAGAGAGCCCTGCAGCTGGATGGAGCCACTGGTTCATCTAGTTCAGCCTCTGGTTCTCACAGTGGCCAACTAAATGCTCTAAAGCGAAGAAGCCCATAAGCAGCACTCCTCCAAACTCTGGTTTCCAGCAGCCGGCATTAAGAAGCATTCCTGCCTTGAGCAGAAGATGAAAGGAACAATCTGCCCCTCTGGGTTGCTGGGAGGTTTCTGGAGGAGAGACCTGATTTGGGGATTTCAGTGGACAAGCTGCTATGCCCTTGTGTTTTCTTCTGCAACCTCCTGCTTCTCACCCGTGTCTGAGCATGCCCTCTCCACTGCACTGGATGAAGAAAAAGCCCCTTCTCAGAGAGAGGGTGTCAACTAGTACAGGGCTTGTGCTCAGCAGCTCATTCTGATATTTTTAATTACTTTATTAAATCATCTTGATGAATTTGTTTTGTCCTACGCTACTGTGTTTGATATTACAGTCAAACCTTGGTTCCTGAACACCTCCGTTATCGAACGTTTCGGCTCCCGAATGCCGAAAACCTGAAAGTAACTGCTCCGGTTTCAAACAAATTTTGGAAGCCAAACAGCTTCTGGGGAGTCCCCCCCCCCATTTTGCTCCATTGACTTTGCTGACTGCTCTTTGATCCTCAGTTGTCGAACATTTCAGAAGTCGAACTGTCTTCCGGAATGGATTATGTTCGACAACAGAGGTTTGACTGTACAGTGATTGCATTGTTTGTTATTTCTTAAAGCTACTGAGATTATTGTGAGTCGCTTTGAGCTCAACACGTGTGGTTGGAAAGGCAGAATACATATATTACATAAAAATCTAAACAAATGTAGAAAGGGGACTCTGTAAAGAAAACAGCAAAGACCCTAGGGACCTTCCCCCTTCCTCAAAGGGTCCAAAGCCAGGAAAGAAGCCCAGAGATGGGTCTGGATATGTCTCCCTGCCCTACAATAGGGTGAACAGCAGCATTTTAATCTGGAAAATGGCCTGTTGAGGTGGAGAGTTAAAGACACTACCGCCTCCTTCAACGCTGCTTTTCTGGACAAAATTGAACCCCTGTCCCCCACCCCAACTGCTTTTAAGTTAAACCCTAACACATTCACAAGCATTGAGAGCAGGAGATGTCCTGAGAGACCTTGTGGTGCCTCTTGGGCTCCGCTCTGGTCACAGGTCCTCAGACGTACATCCCATTCTCTGTGGGTCCATTTGGTGGCCAAGAACCGCTCCCCACCCCCACCTACCTGTTTGCTGCATTTCCTCAGCCGCAAAGAGAGGGAAGAGGAGCACCTGCAACAGGCAGGTGGTCCGACAGCCTTCCCCCATGGCCAGAAGGACTCCTAGAAAACAGAAGGACAGAAGGGGCCCTGTCAAGCCACTGCTAAGCCAGCTCTTCTCCCTGCAGATGGTAAGTGACTTCCGATGGCGAGGCACTAAGGACTCTCTGTGGCAATGGGGCCAGGAAGCTCATCCTGCACATGGCATGCCAAGCCCCAGGGAGGGAGACAGGATGGATTCAGAAGAGCTGTTTCACCTACCTCTTTACCATGGAAGGCTGTTGTTACCGTGTGTTATGTGAACGTGGTGAACGTGCAGAACCCCCCCCTCCTTATAGAACATTCCTTAACAGCTACAGCCATTGCAGTTATTATGGGGACTTGCTGTATATCTACATCTATCTATATTATATAATTGATATAATATACCGTATTTTTCCGTGTATACGATGCCCCCATGTATAAGACATCCTCAACTTTTGGGGACTTCAAATTTAGAAAATGGGCACATGCACTATCCGTGTATAAGACGCCCCCAGATTTTTAACCTTATTTTAAAGTAAAAAAACCTAGTCTTACACAGAGAAAAGTACAGTAATTATATCTATATGTTATAATTGCATCTCTATCTGCCCTGCAACAGAGCCTCAAAAGGACCCAAAGGATTCCCAATAATTTGGAGGGGGGGAATTCTTATACCACCCAAGCTGAAATCTCATGGATGCTTACATGAAAGGAAGCCCCATTGATCACAACTATTATATGAATTATAAATTATGTCTGCCCTCCTCTGTGCCTTGACCAGACCCCATGTGACTCTTACCCGGAGCTCCTTTGGGGTCTCTCTCTCTGGATGGATTTCGTGGGAGGCAGAAAAGCAGTTCCGAAAGCAATGGAAAGAATCTGTGGCTGCAGATGGACTCTGTGGCTCTTCTTCTCCTGGAGCTGCTCCAGTGGCAATTTGCTCCGTCTTGGCCCCGGGGCTGATTAGAAAGAACAGTTTGTTTACCAGGCAGGAGGAGGTCTCTTTTCTATTCAGGCAGATGTTGGCGATAAGTTTGGCAGGCTATGGAGATTGTCTCTAAGATTGTCAAACCGAATTTGAGGGGGTTTGAGGCATTAACCCTGTGGGTCCCCAGACATGAGCCATGTGCCTGAAACCTGCCTGAACCTTGTTTTTTGCCCTACATTTTTGCTACCTCATGTAAGGAGGTTGTGGAGACACCTGTGCTTCTGATCCCAAAACAGGGTTGGCCCAACCATTAAGCAAACTGAGGCAATTGCCTCAGGTGGCAGATGCTGGGGTGGGGCAGCAGCCCCTACATTTTCATCTAAAGCCCTTCTCCCTCCTCCAAGCCATTCCCCTGTTGCTGCGTGATCTGTCCAGAAAATTGGATCTGGTCTGCTGTGTCAAGTATGGTGTGGACGGCTGAATTAAGAGTCAACTGCCAGTCCAGTCATCTTCTGTACATGGGATGGGGGGGGGGGCGTCCCATCTTTCCTTCTTTGCCACAGGCAGGCAGTTGAATATATTGGGCCGGTCGTGCCCACAGAGGAAGGTTGTCTCCCTGGAGAAAGGAGGGAGCCACCCAGAGCCATCCTTGCAGCCTGGAAAGGGAGAAAGAGCACCAGTGAAGACTCCAGGACTCAGCTGTATAGCTGCAAATATGTTTTAAGTGTATTTGAAGTGCATTATACACATTGTACACTAGATGGCGATGGTGAGCTTATGGCAGATTCAATATATTTTTCAAAACGCTTTTTTAAAAAAGCATTTTCACTGTGTTTTTAAAAATGTGTCTAAATTCCACCCAGTCAGGTGGAAAAGAAGTAGCCCAAAGGGGTTGTGGCCAGGCAAAGGGGCTCTTAGGGAAGGAAGGAAGGAAGGAAGGAAGGAAGGAAGGAAGGAAGGAAGGAAGGAAAGCTCACAGAGAGACAGCTGAAGCTGCGCAACTGCAACCGTTGAACTGGCAAGTGCAGCTGCCTGGGCATCCTCTTGTCCTGCAGGGACCCTGTGCTTTTGCAGCACACACACAAGGTTCCCTGTCAGGCTGCCCTGTTAAATCAAGTCTTCCTTGTTAGCTATAGGTCCATGGGGTGACCAGAACCCAACAGGGACCACTTCCCCTGAAATGCCTGCAGCCCAGATGCCCTGGCAGGGATACCGGTTTGCAAATCCACCCCACTCTCTTCTGGAGCAGAGCCCAGCAGTGTCCAGCTCCTCTGCTCCAGACATCCATAGCAGTTTCAAGCAGGATGTGCCTCTTGCATCCTCCCAAGGCAGGAGAGTCTTTCAGGATGAAGAAAGATGACCTTGGGTGTATGCCAGGGAGGGAGGTGTTGCGGCAGGAAAGGGCCCCTGCCTTTTCTCTGGCAACAGGGGTGGGGAGGCTGCGTCAGGTGGCCTCCACTGACAAGTGTTAGTCCAGGTCAGTGGGGGATGCCAGGCAGCTTGAGGCAAGGTACATGGCTGTGGACATCAGTCCCCGGTGAAAGGATCCCGCTCTGTCAGCCCAGGAAAGGCCAGTGCAGCAGAAGCTGCAGCCCAGCTCAGCAGCAGGGGATTTCTTGACTGCTTCTGCCTCCTGGAGGAACTTTAAGCCCAGGCAGCCAAGCCCTTCGGAGGGGAAAGAAGATGGCCAGCAGAGGGAGAGTGGAAATTATGTTGTGGTTGGGGGGGCCAAGAGATGCCTGGAAGCAGCTGGGCTCACTGGGCCACTCCAGGGCACACAGGAAAAGCTTGCTCCAGTGGTCCCTTCACTTTGGAACTGCCTTGCGGACTATATTGTCTTGAAGGTCTCCCTGGGCAACAGGCATCTGAAGGGGCTCCAGGGGGGAGGCTGCTGGGACCATCTAGGGGCCTCAGCTTTTTCCACCTGCCTTGCCCCACCCCTTTGCCTGGGACACTTTTAAAGTGAAGATGCTGCTTGGGCCTTTTTGTCTTAACTTTTTTTGTAGGAACACTAACGTGTTTGCTTCGTAATACTGTTGGAATGTTTTGAATGTGTATCATTTTGTATTGCTGATGTATGCATTATTGCATTTGTGTGTACAGTCATGCCTCGGGTTGCGAATGTGATCCGTGCAGGAGGCATGTTCGCAACCCGCAGCGCTACGTCTGCGCACGTGCATGACACAATCTGGTGCTTCTGTGCATGTGCAAAGAACGATGCGCAAAGCCCACAAGTAACCCATTCCAGTACTTCTGGGTTTGGTGCGGTCCACAACCCAAAAATGCGCAACCCGCAGCGTTTGCAACCCGAGATATGACTGTATCTGCTAATTCTTGGGAGCCTTTCTGGCTAAAAGGTGGATGTCAGGGAACTGCCATCAGTACCGGAGGGAGAGAGCAAAAGCCAGAGGGATTATAGAGAGCCTCCAGGGATCGGGAGGAGCAGCTCCTCTTCTGGGGAAGAGAATAAAAGCAGCTCCAGTGAAAAGGGGGTGCAGGAGTCGCAAGTGGCGAGGCGGTCCCATGACTCCTTGCCTGGGACAAGCGGGGAAGGAAGGGGTCCTCCGCTGCCCACGCCCTCTCTGCGCAGAAGGTTTTCGCGCAGAGAGGGAAGGCGGAGACTGGGCATTAAGGAGCTTCTTTGCTGGAAGAAGTTTAAGAAATGCCCACTCACGGATTCTGCCAGCGATTGAGACAGCCCCGGGTGAGTGGCTCTCTGGACAGATAAAGTTTACATTAGCAGCCACCCAGGGAGGGATTTGCCTGCTTGCGCACGAGCAACCCCCATGGAAACCTAACAGTGGCATATAAATAAACAGTAACATAAAGTAACAAGGGGGGATTCTTGTTCCAGCCTGCATCTGTCCTGGGTTTGAAATAGTTTTTTTATATGCCATGATTGTTAAAGCGCTTTGGCACGTTTCCCAGAAAGAGGTTCTTGAATGAAACAAAGAAATGAAGTTTATCACCAAGTTAAATGTTGAGTATAATTGTTTAATTGCAGAATGAAATGGAGAATGTCTGCATGTATATTGCTAAGGGTTTAACGCTGGAAAATTTCATTGGGGCATGCTAAAGCTCTCTAAGCTTCTAGCTAGGTTAATGATTAAAGTTGATGCTCTCTGCCCTTTTCATGTGTTTAACCTTAGACCACATGTTTATAGTATTCAATTGCAAATCTCCATTTTGAAGGGAGCTGCCTTTGGTTTTTTATTTCCCAGGAATAGTGGAAGAAAGATGTGCAAATAAGTCTTCCCATGAGATACAGGTCCAGGCTAATGGCGACTGTAGGGAGAGACCTTTGATTCTAGGTCTCTTTAGAGTCATATTTCTAAGATATTGAGCCTATGCTTGGACAAGTCTTACGGAATTATTTGGAGTTATCATTTGTTTTTGTACTGTACCAGTTCTGAAGAAGTTCTGGTTAGTAAAGCTCTGAATCATATTTATGGGTCTGGACAATTTTTATTCCGAAAGGAGTCAGCTTTTATGCATCCAATTGTTACAAGCTACGCAATATTAATATGTCAAAACAAAAAAATTCCTTCCAGTAGCACCTTAAAGACCAACTAAGTTAGTTCTTGGTATGAGCTTTCGTGTGCATGCACACTTCTTCAGATACACATCTGAAGAATGTGTATCTGAAGAAGTGTGCATGCACACGAAAGCTCATACCAAGAACTAACTTACTTGGTCTTTAAGGTGCTACTGGAAGGAATTTTTTTGTTTTGACTATGGCAGACCAACACGGCTACCTATCTGTAACTGGAAATATTAATATGTGCAATGGTAACCCCTCCACCCTATCCCAGACCCACCAGCTGATTTTCAGTTTCCAATTCAGGCTTGGACTTCCCTTTGTGGAGGAAACTCTGTCCTCCCTGTCTCCTTTTTCTCCCCTTTTGCCTTGGCCTTCACTCCCCCAAGCAATGGCCATGCACACGCTCCACTAGTCACACAAATCACCACAACTGTGATAGACCTTCTTTATTAATTGCTATACAACAAATGCCAACATAATTGGTCCCTGCCCAGGGCTCACAGCCTGAAGTGTGGTGGCCCCAAAAAAGAGGAGGGAAGGATAAGGAAAGAGGGAGGGGGAAGGTTGGGGGTCCTCTGGGGCTCTTCATGGAGCGAAGCTGCTGCTGCTGCGAGTCCAGCTTTGGTGGGGGGCCTCCTCCTGATTGATGCTGGCCTTGAAGAGTACAATTTTCTCCCCACCATAGGGGTGGAGCAAATGTGATGTGCATGTCTCCCTCTCTCTGCCCAGCTCACCCCACCCCACCCATGTGCACCCCCTGTGGCTTGGAACTTGAAGTCTGCTTTGTAGTTGACACTCCCAACTTCATCCAAAGATTTCACAGCCTTTGTAAAAATATTAACTTTTGTAAGCAAAAAGAGGAATTTGCCAAGGAGGGGAAAAACAGCTTCCAGTCCTGGGGTGGGTGGGTCTCCCGGCGCAAAGGAGGAGGTGTCTGGTAGTGGCAGCAAAGGCTTCCCTGCTTATGTCTCTCTTATGCAGGAGAAAGCTGAGCGTCCAAGCAAGACCCATAGATCTTTGCAAGGAGTGAAGGAGCTTCACAGTGGCCTCGACAGGTGCTCAGCTCCTGCTTCCCCCTCTGTGCTTTTAACTGGGCTGCGCTCTGTTGTGACAGGAGGAGACCCATTGCTTGACGTAGCTGGGCAGGAGCTCTTCCCCTGTCTCTCCGCTTTCCACACTGAGGGGTTCAGACCCACAGCCTGTCGGCCTCCTCTCGAACTCAGAGTCCACAGGGCTCCCACAGTCACACTCTGCAAAGCCACTGTCAATGGTATCCAGATCCAGGCCATTGGCAAGGAGGTCCCCATCTGCATCCAAGTCAGGAGAGAGCAGGTCTCGGTAGGAAGCTATGTCCTCCTCCTCTGGAGACAAGAGGCCTTCCAGGGTCCAGGGCTCAGGAGGCGAACCAAAAAAGTCCACCTCCTTCCCAGACCTTTTTCTGCCCAGGGAGCCGCCAGCTTGCGATAAAGGAGTAAGAGTCTCGAGGAGAGGGTCTCCTGACCAGGACTCCAAGGCAGACAAGAAAGCCTTCCTCTGGGCTGCTGCTGGTGGGACCATGTCCACCAGGAGCAGATTCTCGGAGATCTGGCCCTCATTGAGGAGGATGCCCTGGTAGGCATCGCTTTCGTCCTGGCCCTCCTCCAGAGCACAGCATGCTGGGGCCCCCTTGCACCGCGGGCAGCAGGCGGTAAACTCTCCAGCCACAGTGACGGTGTCAATGGAGAGGTGGCCGTAGGCCTGATCATGGGTGGCATCCTGGCTCCCAGGCAGGTGGGAAGCAAATGTAGCAGGGGAGGGTGCATGGCCTCCACTCTGCTGCTCCTTGGCAGGGCTGGGGGGAAGGGGCTTTTGGCCCATCCCAAACACATCCAGCAGGGCTGTGCTCCATTCAAAGTTGTCCAGCATGGCTCCAGGGCAGGAGATGCCGCTGCCCACCCACTTCTGCACAGGAGAGAGAGAGAGAGAGAGAGAGAGAGAGAGAGAGGTGTCAGCAGGCCGTGGCCAGAGAAACAGCAGGTGTGGGCCTTTTTTTAACCATCTGGGGAATGGAAGGAATTGCATACCTTCAGAAGGACATATCCCAGGAGAGGAGCTCCTTCCTCCAGCCCAGACTGTGCAACAAAGTGCCCACTTATCAGCTACTCCATCATCTCCTATCATCCTTCTGTGCAAAGAGGAAACTCCTCCCCCACCTGTAATGCACCTGGTGGCTGCAAGAGGCTATGTGCTTTCCACAGGACTCTGCCCAGAGCTCACTTTTTCAGAGAGGATCCTGCCCCATAGGGATGGGAATTGGGGTGAGAGAGAAGCAGGCAGAGCCCCTGCTGTGGGGAGGGGGACATGGAGAAAGCCTGGGGTGGGGGAGAAGGCCTTGTGTCAAGAGGAGACCCCCACCCCTCCACCAAGTCCCCAACTTCTCTGCAGAATATTAGGCAGCCTGATGTCCTCCCTCCCACCGATCATGCCTTAAGGCTCCTGGCACTTGAGGCAGGACCCCCCACCCCCAAACACACACATACAGGAACTTTCTGCCTTGGGTGATGCCCGGAGGATCCGTAGGTGCCTGTGGGTCAATTCAAACAGCCACTCCAACACCCTCCCCTGCCCCTCCTGTCTGGTGGGTAGGAGTCGCTTGTACCTTGAAATCTCCATTGTGGATCAGGTAGAGGGGCTGGAAAAAGGGGGCCGGGCTGGGGATGAAGATGTCCAGCTTCTTCCACAACCTGTCAGAGGGAAAGAAGAGCTGGAGGCCTTTTGTGGGGAATGCCCAAACTTCATTCCACCGACTACCCACGGGAGGGACTAGGAGCATGGCCAGGCCTTGAGGCACTGGCGTCTCAGGCTTGCTGCCCGGCAACTGCCTTGTCCAAGGAACCTCAAGGCTTCCCTTTCTAGGGAACTCAGCCACCCACTGCCACAAGCAAGCAAGCCCGTGGCTGGTGCTCTGCAGACTGAGGGAAAGAGGGAGTGGGCTTGGTGGACTTACCTGAGCACGGCTTCTTAGGAGGTGATGCCTCCCCCACCCACCATTTCCTTTCTCTGTGTAGGGTAGGTCATCCAGCTGGGAAGTGGGCAGCCTGCGGCCAACCAGAAGCTCTCAGCAGCCCCGCAACCCCAAAATCCAGCATCCAACTCCCACACTCACCTTTGGTGCTGCCAGCCCAGGAAGACCATGAGAGCAACCAATGGGCTGAGCACCAGCAGGAACCACAAGGACCACTTGTCTCCTGGCCTGTCCTCCACGGCTGAGGAAGGAAACCAGTAATATCAGTTACTTTCCTTGGTAGCTCCACTGGGGGTTGCCAGGGTGGGCTGGGCTCTGGGGCTCAGTCAGGATGAGTTTCCCTGGGATCACGGCCAGAGCTCCCTCCTAGGGCAGCAGAGTAGCAGGAGGGGGTCTACTTCTTGACAGGAATGAAGAGAGGCTGCTCCTCTGATCTGCCATGGATTCATGGTCTCAAAGGTGCAGAAGGCCCCCCTGGACTGGGAGAGGGGCTTATGAATGGCCATTGATGGCAAGGTTCAGCCCTCCTTGTATGGGCAGAGGCCAAGACCCCCTTGTGAGGAGGGAGGGGGGACTCACCCCTCGGCAGCGTCCTCAAGGTCGTCTTGGGGCTCCAGTCGCTCCAAGCGCCCTGGTATGAGGAGTCTTCCCTTGGCTTCACCCGAACCTGGAGTTCATAGTCTGTGTCCCCTTCGAACTCCTGGGGGAGCCACAGGGTCTCAGTGTACTGCAGTAGATGGTTGTGTCCCTGCAGGAAAGGGAAGAAGCCAAAGGGCTGGGAGGAATTCTGGGAAACGCTCCCTACCTCTGCCACCTTCATAGCAATTCAGAGGAGTTACTCAAATGATCCTGAAAGAGCCCCATGACTTCCCAGTGCCCCTGAAGCCCAAGTCTAAAGAAGCGCTAAGAAACTTTGGGACTGAGCGCCAGGCTGGCCAGCCAGCCATTGACGGCCTGACCAGGCAAATGGTGCCCGCTGCCATCCAGCTCAGGCTGGCCCTTGCCTCCTGGCTTACCTGCCATGGATGTCCCCTCTGCCGGTAGCGCAACTCATACTGCAGCTCCGTGTCCAGGTAGAAGTACTCATCTTGCTGGTACATGGTGTTCCAGGAGAGGTTGTAGCCCTCAGGGGAGACAATAGCCCTCAGGCTGAACGGCGGGGACGGCTTAACTGGGGAAAGAGTCAAGGTGGGCTCCTGAGGGCATCTGGCTGACAGGACTTGGCCCCCACCCACTGGGTGAAGCAGCAGTGACACCCCCAAATCCCCAGGGTGTAGTTGTGGGGGGAAGCCCCTGCAGGGCATGACAGAGGGATGTCCCTCCAGCCTCCAAGTGGAGCAAGGTGAAAGCATCTGGGGCTGCTGGGGTTGAATGAAAGGCAGTGGGTTATTCATTCATATTCATTCATTGAATACACCGCCCTTCATCCGAAGATTCCAGGGCAGTTTACAACAGAAAAATACATACAGTAATGGTGGCGTGGCGTGGGTGGGTGGACGTAGAATAACCCCGTCAAAACATTTAAAAGGCCCCAGGTTGTTTAATCAGCCCAAGGCTAGCTGGCTGTAGGAGCTCGAAAACTCCTTGCCTTCAGCCTTGTAAATAAACCCAAATCTCCGGCTGCAAGAAGCTCCTTTCTCCCTGTGCACGCCAGCAGCCCCTGCGTGTGTCCTCCTCCCCCCAGTCCCATTCACGTGTCCAGACATGCACAGACATGGACCACCCCTTGGGGCTTGGGGGCTACCCACTTACCCCTCCCCCATACTTACAGTGTTCTTGGAAGACAAACTCGTTCTTACACACTTGCCGTTGCTCATCCCCCAGCTTCACGACCACCTCAAAGTTGTTGTTCCCAAAGCAGATGTTCTGCTCTGCAAAGCAGGTGTATCGGGCAGCGGCGGCGGCACCCTCGGAGGTGAAGGAGCAGTTGCCGCCTTCTCCGCAGTCCCTGCGAACACCAAAGATGCCCCCGCTCAGTGTGGGACGGCCATGGCTGCTCCCTCCGTGAGCCAGGAAAGCCCCACAGCCGCAGCCGTGATGCTCAAGAGGACCCCAATTGGGGCAGCCGTGGTGCGAGACCCGCGCGCAGGCGCCCGGAGCGGTTTCGTGCAGTCCGGCGGCTCCCGAGTAGGAGGCGGCGGCACCTGCCTAGCTTGTGAGGCGCTGCTGAGTCGCCCCGCGTTTCCTGCCTCGTCAGCCTGGGCTCCAGCCGCAACATGAGTATTGGCGCCTCGGATCGGAACGAGGAGTTCTACCAGCAGCTGCGGCTGCAGGAGCTGTACGGCAAGGAGGGCGAGGAAGGCGGCGAGGACCCTTTCACGTACACGGACCCGGCGGATGGGACGCAGTACGAGTGGGATCCCGACAAGAAGGCCTGGTTCCCGAAGGTTACTGAAGATTTCCTGGCAACATATCACGCTAACTACGGCTTTCCCACTGAAAGTTCAGATAGTTCATCTGCATCTCTTAGAAGGACCGAATCTAAAACGCCTACAGATTCAAAGGCTACCCAGGTCCAGCAGGCAACAGGTCCAAAAGCATCTCAGGCAACGGATCTTAAACCAAAAGGAGAGAGAATAAAACCTGGCGCAGGGTGGTTTCATGTTGAAGAACAGAGAAACACAAATGTATATGTGACAGGTTTACCGCCAGACATTACAAAAATGAGTTCCTGCGGGTTATGTCAAAATGTGGTATTGTTATGCGTGATCCACAAACAGAGGAGCCTAAAATTAAACTTTACAAAGACAAAGAAGGAAATCTGAAAGGAGATGGGCTCTGCTGCTACTTAAAGAGAGAATCTGTTGAACTAGCATTCAAACTATTGGATGAAAATGAAATTAGAGGCTACAAATTGCATGTGGAAGTTGCACAGTTTCAACCGAAGGGGGAGTACGATGCCAGCAAGAAGAAAAAGAAATGCAAAGACTACAAGAAGAAACTGTCTCAACAACAAAAACTTCTGGATTGGAGACCGGAGAAGAAAGATGTCAGTGTTCGAATGCGGCACGAGCGTGTTATCATTATCAGGAACATGTTCCACCCAAGCAATTTTGAGGAAGATCCTTTAGTGCTAAATGAGATAAGAGAAGATCTTCGGACAGAATGTGAAAAGTTTGGACAAGTAAAGAAAGTAATTTTATATGATAGGCACCCAGATGGTGTTGCTTCTGTGTCATTTAAAGAAGCAGAAGAAGGAGATGCCTGCAAACAGGCACTCAATGGGCGATGGTTTGGTGGACGTCAGCTCTCTGTGGAGACCTGGGATGGTGTAACAGATTATCAGGTCGAGGAGACTTCAAGAGAAAGGGAGGAGAGACTGAAGGGTTGGCAAAAGTTTTTAGGTGATCCAAATACAGAAATGCCAAAAACAGCATCTGACGCAGATTCTTCGGAAATGTGTCCAGCTCCCAGAAGGCGTTCACAGTGCATCTGAGGGTGGCCCAGAGGGTGAAGCAGCTGAGAGAGGAGATAATGGCGAGGGTACCAATGAAGATGTCACAGCATCCACAGACAGCAGTGTTGCAGGCAGTGACGAGGAAGCGGAGACAGAATGTCTTTAACTCATTTGTAAAAGCATGTATATAGGGTAACCTTTAGACCTCTATTATCCTGTGCTTTGAAGCAACTGCAGGCAGCATTCAAATGAATATAAATGCATTACCCTATTACGATATCATCAGTGTGTTTTGAGGTGTTTCATTAAAAGCAACATTTAATGATCATCTTTAAAAACATATGTTCATATCTGCTGCTGTCCAAGCTGTGTGTATGTGTCCATAAGTTGCCAAGGGCCTACTGAACTGACCAGCTGTCTTACATTATATCTTTGCTTGTCAGTGAAGTCCATTAGTGTGAGCAGGTACAAACTTGCAGTTCCTATTAACTACCTTTAGAATTACAGAGGTATGAATGCTTTCAATTTTTTTGCTCCCAGTTTCCTTAATGCCCCAAATCTTTGAGTGTTCTAGTACTTATTTGGATGAGCTGGCTTTTCTGATACTGCACACTTTAAAAATAACAGATCACTGAGAATACATTACAATATTGGAACCCTGTACATGTAGCTGGGGAGTGGAAAAATAATTATCACCCGCAATTAATAAAGATAAATGTTCTGAAAGTACTCTCCTAGGAGGCCAAGTTTTCGATGACTGAAGTTCCCCATTCATTTTAATTCACTTTAAATCCTGATGAGATTAGATGACAAATAGGAAAAACGTGTAAATAAGACTGATCTCTGTTTTTAATTTTTTGATGATGAATTCATATTGGAAACAAAGCGAGAGCTTGTGTGGTGGAAGTGCTATTCTTTTTTTCATATTACTGCATTCAAATGTAGTTTGGTTTCAGGCGTTTGTTTCAGGTAATGAGCATATGCGGCCTGTTCTTTTTGTATGCTTGGTTTTACTACAGGAGACTACAAACGAAATTGTTTTGAGATTCCCTCTCAAAACTGTTGCTCAGATTTTTAAAGACAGATCTTTGTTTACAGATACAAACCATTCAGAACTAGCAAACATTTGTGTCTTGGTTTTAAATGTACCTGACTTTCCAAATGTTGTATATAAAATTATTTTCCAATACCATTTTTAACAAGATCTATCAAATCAACTGCACTGAAAACCATCAAACTTACTATTTTTAAGCTCAATTCAGACATAATGAGAAACCATGAACTTCCATGATAAGAATGAGCAACAGTGGGCGTCTTCCTCCTAATGTTTAGCATACCCGTTTTGTATTTGGGAATATGGGATTATGTTTTAAAAAATTAAAGAGATTAAATTTGCATTTTAAAAAAGGAGGACGCTGCCCTGCATGGCCCATGGAGACCCTACCAGCTTCATCCCTTTCCCCATTCTACCAAGCAGCCACTTGCTGGAATGAACCTGCTGGCTGCGGTGGGCTGCCTTAGGCTTCACATCCCCCCCCCTCAATCCAAACTGTCTTGCTCTAGTCCAGGATTTCCCAAAGTTGGGTCTCCAGCTGGTTTTGGACTACAACTCCCATCATCCCTAGCTAGCAGGACCAGTGGATTATGGGAATTGTAGTCCAAAAACAGCTGGAGACCCTGCTCGTCATTCCAGATTCAGAAGGACTTAAAGGAAAGGAAAGCTGAAGGCATGAAGGGAGCTGGCAGTGGCCAAGGAGGGCTCAGCGGCTAAAGTGGCTTCCATCCTGGCAGCTGTGAGGAGACACACCCACCACAAATGTGCAGCAGGGTTGTCTGATGGCACAAGCCTGACCAGCATTAGCTAGAGAGCAGACTCAGCTACAGCCGAAGCAGCTGGTTAAGTATGTCCACAAAGGTGTGCCAAGGAGCCCCAGGGGTTAGCAGAGAAGGGGGCCATTCCCCCCCCCGCCCACCCCACTCCCAAGCAAAGCCAGGATTTGTGAGCCACAGAGAATGATATTCTGCCCCCAAACCCTGTGAAAGTCATGGGAGCAGCCCTAAAGTTCCAGGGGGTTGAGGTCAACGGCATGTCTTCCTCCACATCCATACATACCATGTTGCTGTGAGATGGTACTGAGCTCTGCTGGAGGCGTGGGGGTCATTTCCCCACATGCATGTTAAGGTCTGGATGTAGTCGGCAAAACAGGTGAGATTCCCACAAGCTGAAGCTGGAGGTGAGACAGGTGAGACAAATGTGGCTGCTCAGAGGATGGGGTGCATGATGCAGAGACCCATCTGTCCCCTACCCCACAATACAACTGAAAGATAATTGATTCTGGTAGAGGAGGTGGGTAGGCCTGCCTCCCGAAAAAACAAAACCCATCCAACCTACCAAATCTAGGTGCTTCGGTCAGAACCATCTCCACCTGCAGCTGTGCTCTGAAGCTCAGGCCTAAAAGCCTCCAATTCCAACTTCCTGGCCTTCCCTGTGATTGAACTTTGGACTTCTACTGCTGACCACTTGTGGATTTTGGGTGGTCATTCTGGTCAGCACAGGTGTTTGCTTATGGGTCACCTACAATAGGACATCCCTAGCAAGGGGATCAAGATCTCCACCCCATTGCCAAGGAATTGAAGGCTATTTCCACAGCAGGCTTTTAGTCGCCCCGCTTTGAGCACTCAGTCTTGATAGGGCATCCACACACCATCAGCATCTTCGTGTGGCTCAAAAATCACTGTCCCAAACAATCAGGCTGAGAGGAGGTGCATACCCTCCAAAATTCCTCAGATGTAAATGTGGGAATGTTTAATAATACATCCCACAGAAAATAGGGACATTCTTGCAATTGGAGACTATGGAATAGGCATCTTGACACTATAGGGGAGGGGTGGAGAGCCTCTGGCTTGCGGGCCCACCTTGGCCTACCAGGGGCTGCACTTTGGCCTGCAAGATCGCATGCCCATCACTGGTAGTGTTGGCCAATGAGCAGGACAGGATTGAATCCCACAACGGCTGCACAATCCTGTTCCAATCCCTGCTCATCAGCTGACATCTTTCCACCCCTAGCAGTGAGGGATGTGCCACAGTTGCACAGACACTCCATTTGGCTTTCACTAAGACACCCCTTGACATGGTGACAATGATAATCCCCACCCCACTGAAAGCACTTTCACGTAAGGGCTTGGTGACACTGCTTGCACAAACTCATTGCACTGTTGCTTCTGGCAAACAGGTCTTTCTGCATTGTTTCAAAATGTCTCGATGAGTGTTGTTTTTGGGAAGTGAATGAATAAGCTGCACTGCATGCGTGTGTGTGTGAACTTCCCCCTCCACTTCCTCCCACATGGAAAGCAAAACCACTTTCAATCATCTTGGAGGCTGGGCTTACCTTGCTGAAGGAAGAGCAGCAGCAGCAGCCATCCCCACACCTGGCCTGCCATCCTTCCTCTTGCCACAGTCCCCTGGGGCTCCCTGCAAGACATAGAATCATAGAATAGAATCATAGAATCATAGAGTTGGAATAGACCACAAGGGCCATTGAGTCCAACCCCCTGCCAAGCAGGAAACACCATCAGAGCACTCCTGACATATGGTTGTCAAGCCTCTGCTTAAAGACCTCCAAAGACGGAAACTCCACCACACTCCTTGGCAGCAAATTCCACTGTCGAACAGCTCTTACTGTCAGGAAGTTCTTTCTAATGTTTAGGTGGAATCTTCTTTCTTGTAGTTTGGATCCATTGCTCCATGTCCGCTTCTCTGGAGCAGCAGAAAACAATTCAGAGCAACTTTGTCAGGAATGAGAGAGGAGTGTGAGATTCCAGGAAACGATCCCAGAAACTTTCAGTGAGTGAGAGGAGCATCTGGAGTCCAAATCCTCAAAGACCAGCCAGATTGCAAACTCACAGTTTTTGAGCTGTCAGGGTGCCCTCACAGCAGGATACGCACAGACATGCAATTCACTGTATTCTATTTTAATTTATGCATTTTCAATTTTTCTATTTACACATCATACATTTTCCATCATACAAAATGTCGCTATAGACTTCCCAACCCAACATACTGTGGCATTCCAGGTGTACCTTACATTGCTGCATATCTGATAATTCTCTGACCCTGTTTTTCTCCTTTCAATTCCTCCATTGTTAACTGTTGCTCATGAAATTACCCCTACTTGTAGGTTAGTTTTAGTATCATATATTTTAAAATATTCTCCAAGGCTTTGCCACTCGCCCCTTATCTGTTTCTCGCCTTGTAAATTCACTGTAAATAAGTGTCAAGTGATGAAGATTGGGGCAAACAAACAAATAAAAACATAATTTCCCACATGGTCTAAATTTCTCATGTGGTTTAAACTGGTGGTGACAGACCAGAAATGAAATCTTGAGGTCATAATAGATAGCTCAGAGAAGACATTGACCCAGTATTCAGCAGCTGTGAAAAAGGCATTATTCCATAGTAGGGATCATTAGTGGGGGGAAATGGAAGATAAATCTGCCAGCATCATAATGCCATTATACAAATGAGACCACATTTGGAATATTGTGTACAGTTCTGATCACCTCAACTCTAAAAGGATAAGCTAGAGTTGGGAAAGGTTCAGAAAGGGGCAACCAAAATTATGAAGAAAGACTTTTGGGACTTTTAGAGAAAAGGTGAGTAAGAGACAACATAGCAGAAATTTATAGAATTATGCACGACACAGAGAAAGTGGGTGGAGAACTCATGAACATTCAATGAAGCTGAATGCTGAAAAATTCAAGATAGATAAAAGCAGTGCTTTTTCTTTATTTCCAGGGAGTACTCGAGGGTAAGCAGTATCGGCACCTCTTCTTTGTTGTTGTAAAAAAGGTGGGGCACTTACTGTAACAACTTCACGGTGAGTACTGGCACCTATTTTTCTAGGGGGGAAAGCACTGGATAAAAGAAAGTCCTTCATGCCGCGCATAGTTGAACTAAGGAATCCACATCACATGCCTTTAAACTGTGATTAGACCAATTCACGGTGGATAGAGCTATCAATGGATTCTACTTGTCTATATATCATCACCACCATATTTTATTGGTCAACCAAATGCAGGTTATAGTCCTCCAGGATCAAGAGCCTCTGACTGCCAGTTGCTCTCCAGATCAGTGCCATCATCATCTCCTCCTACCTGTGGGCTTCCTTTAGGCATCTGGCTGCCCAGGAGGGGAAGGAGACTCATTGGTCCCCTTTTGGCCTGATCCAGCAAGACTGGACTAATGTACAGAGATCCTCCGGGAGCTCTACCCAATCCCATTTTGCTTTATTGATCCTGAAAAATTTGGTGTCATCGCTAAACCTGGACAATGCACTGCACCAGGTCATTGACAAAATTAGTTGAGACCCACAGGGAGCCCCATGCCATACACTTCTCCATTGTGAAAGCACTGGATAAAAGAAAGTCCTTCATGCCGCGCATAGTTGAACTAAGGAATCCACATCACATGCCTTTAAACTGTGATTAGACCAATTCACGGTGGATAGAGCTATCAATGGATTCTACTTGTCTATATATCATCACCACCATATTTTATTGGTCAACCAAATGCAGGTTATAGTCCTCCAGGATCAAGAGCCTCTGACTGCCGGACTTCCGGTCGGCGCCAGCGCTTAATGGCGGTCCTTGCCTCGAGCTCCGAGGCAGGACTGCTCCGCGGGTTCGGGTCTGACCCGCTACGGCGAGCAGGGGACCCCTAAAATCACAGGCGCAGAAGCCTGTGAGCAAGGAGACTCGGTGGGCACCTTTGCGCCCCCCGGTATCGCGAAAGAGCCTTTTTAAAGGCTCCGGAGCGGCATCGGGAGTGAGCGCGGTGCTGAGAGTCGCAACCCAGCCCGCGGAGTGAAGCCGCGTCGCCATTAACGGAGAGCGCCGATTCCTTCCTGAATCTGAAATTCGACCATAATACTCGTGAGTAAGACTGAGAAATTTAAATGGGACATCTAAATTGAATTTAGAAATTTGGCTGAAAACGGGAAAGGCATAAACTAAGGAAGTCTGCCTCCCCGGACTGCATGACTTTTAAAGCAACGGAAAAGTAGAACTAAGTAGGAGAGCCTACCCTTTTGGGGTGAGTTAAAAAAAAAACATTAACCTCCACGATTTGGTAAAAGAAGTTTTGAGCTGGAGTGCAAGAGTGGACTTTCAGAAGTTTTCCTTTGCTGCATGTAAACTCCCCCTCCTGGGCCCGGGAGCGCCCTGTCTTCGAGCCTGTTGAAAAGGAAAGGAGTTTGACAGCTGTCAAAAGCTGTCAAACGGGCAATTTAAGGGGAAAAAGCTTGCTATTTAAGACCTCTCTGGATTAAATGTGATACAATTGAACTTAAGTGGTTGGAAACAAAGAAACAAGCAGTGAAGTAAGAGATTGTTGGGAAAAGACTACTAAGTAACTAGATTCCCCCTAGGGGGAATTTTGAGACATTACAATGGCTGCGGAGGGAAATTTACTAGCTGAGATAGAAAGAACATTCTATCTTTTGGGAATTTTACAAGAGCAGAGTCTTGCAATGAATAAACAACTTGTGACCTTGACTTCTGGAATAAGCAGCTCTGCTGAATGTAATGAGGAACTGTATGAGAAAAAATCTGCAGCTGAATTGGAAGAGATATCGCAAGAAGTAAAGGAGACAAAACAAGTAAAGGAGAGAGCACTGATGGAAAGTACCAAGCCTTTACAAGTGGTTTACAAACAAAAAGACCTTTGGATTACATGGATTATAAATCTGCAAAAGAAGCGAAAGATGAAGGAGGAAGCCCCTGGAATACTTGGAATTCAAGAACTCAAAAGAAAGAAGAAATATGACTGGGACCTCCATTCTGACCTCGAATATGAAGGATTGGTGGAGCTTTTGCAGCAGTTGCCCTTAAGTGTTTCTGAGGGAATAAAATTTGGCTCGATCGGGACAGAACTCCTTAGAGATCCAAAGATCAACATGAAGGACTACCAACAAATCCGGCGGAGAGGAACGGAACGAGATTTCAAGGCCTCGGACGTGAGGAATCCAGGCTAAGGACTGTTATTTTGGACATATATTTGGAAGGGACGGAAACCGGGGATGGGAGGGGGAAAACAGAAATTTGTGTTTTTTTTCTTCTTCTTTTTCTTTTTTGGGTTCAGTCAATATGTTTATAATTCATAAAAATTGTGAAATCGATGGAAGGGAATTTGAGTCCAACTTAGGATAAGAATTAAATTTTTTATAAAAGATGTAATATTAACATGGTAAGAAGGGGAAATGATAACCTGCCGACACAATTATGGGAATTGGGATGCATGAAGATTAACAAATTTAGGGAAATTTAAAAGAAATTGATTTGAATAATTAGACTGAGGAGTTGCTGAAGAGGTACAAAACAAGGATGCAGGGAGGGGAAGGTATGGGGAAGTCCGAGAAATAAGGTTATGAAAAAACGGTTATGAAATTATACATGTTTATATGTTTGTATGTCTGTGTATTGTGTATTGTTTGTGTATACTTTGTGTTTAAAAAACTAATAACAATTATTAAAAAAAAAAAAAGAGCCTCTGACTGCCAGTTGCTCTCCAGATCAGTGCCATCATCATCTCCTCCTACCTGTGGGCTTCCTTTAGGCATCTGGCTGCCCAGGAGGGGAAGGAGACTCATTGGTCCCCTTTTGGCCTGATCCAGCAAGACTGGACTAATGTACAGAGATCCTCCGGGAGCTCTACCCAATCCCATTTTGCTTTATCCATCCTGAAAAATTTGGTGTCATCGCTAAACCTGGACAATGCACTGCACCAGGTCATTGACAAAATTAGTTGAGACCCACAGGGAGCCCCATGCCATACACTTCTCCATTGTGAAAGCTGTCCATTTATTCCTGTTCTCGGCTTCCTGTCCCACTATCTGAAGGAAGCACTCTTGCCTCCAAAAGCTTCTGTGTCTCTGTTCATTAACCACACCAACATCCTCTTGAACTGGTTGACTCCTTCCCTGATCTGTGGTACACCTTCTAGCTGAGCTTCTGTTACTGCAATTTTGGAAAACCACTCATGATGTTCTAGTTCTCAGACTGGTTCGGTACAGGCCAGATGAAAATACTGTCAGGTGGATTCACAGCTGTTGGAAAACTATCCATGGCTCCTCATCAAAATGGGAAGGGGAAGTGTGTCTCCATCCTTGGCTAGGTACTTTTCAACATTTTTATCACAGTAACTCAGTTGAGAGATGGAGGGGGTTCTTTTCAAATTAGCAAAGCTCAGGGTAACAGGAAAAACAAATGACCTTGACAGAAAGGACAACTGGGATGAAACTTAACAAATGTAGTTGACTAGGAGACTAGGGTTCAAAACCTACACAGCTATCAAGTCCACTGAAGGGTGATATTGGGCCAGTCACTGCCTCAGTCTAACCTACCTCTTAGGGTTGTTAATAGGATTAAATAGTGGGGGGGGGGGAGGGGGGAGAGAGAGAGAGAGAGAGAGAGAGAGAGAGAGAGAGAGAAGGGTGTATGCTACTTTGAGCTCCTTGGAGGAAAAGGAGGGATGTAAATGTGGGATAAAAGATGGTAATAATAAATAAAATGCAAACGCAAATGTACATATGAAGTGGACCTCACAATGGTAGTCAATCGCAAGTCTCACTGAGTTACATCAGACGTAGCCTTTTGGTTTTATTTCTAATTCGCAAAGATGAAAACCATCAGGCTGCAATTATCTGCTGATTTCTGAAAAATTATAACCCTGTTCCAGACAATAGACAAACCAGAATCTGGGTAAAAGGCATTGTCAAATCATAAAATGAGTCAACCCACCAAAATTAGCTATTTATTCCTTAAGAGAACTGCCCAGGGGAAAAACAGAGCACATTGACAAGGTTTTGAGAGGTACATCTATTTCTATACAGAAGAGTAATTCACTCAAGGCACAAATGATTAGTTTGTTCTGGAAAATAATGGTTTAGAGCCCCGTAAAACAAAACAAGGATCCACTCAAGGAGAAGTCCATCATCTCCAGAGCAATGGAGAGGGATGTTGGTGCACCAGATTTGGCTGAGGAGAACCACAGAGCCAATTTCTTTGAATCTCTTGACTGACACCACATGAATATTACAAAGAGAAATTTAAATATTTAAAATGTAACTTGCTCAAAAAAGGAACTGGTGGTTTAATAGGCCCCCCCTCACACAGTGAGATAAATTTATTAGTTTTCATTCCAGATAACTCTCAGTGACGCTTACTAGAAGTGTAACCCTAGGCAGATTTAGGGGGAGAATTGCAACCTCTGGTGGATTGTGAACTCGCCAAGTGGTATTCAGAAATGACTCAGTCAGGATTTCAAAGAAAAGTCCAACTAGTACTAAATTCAGTTGTGATGGTTGGGCTGATTTATTAACAAACCTGGGAAATTTTTATACTGTCAAAAAAAGAAAAATGCTTGAGAGAAGACTATATGAAAAAGAGAGTGAGGTACCATTTTTGTATGGATGTTTGTGTTAGCATCCAGAATGGAGAAGAGAGCTACAACGTTTATGTCCTGCCTATGGACTTCCCAGAGCCATCTGGCTGGTCACCATTAAAACCTTCCATTGTTTTCTTTCCAGGAAAATGGTTGGAAGAACTAAGCCGCACTCCCCTAATTGATGTCCTGATCCAAATCCCCCTCTATCCACTGCTGCTGCTGCTGCTGCTGCTGTTGTTTAGTCATTTAGTCGTGTCTGACTCTTCATGACCCCATGGACCAGAGCACACCAGGCACTTCTGTCTTCCACTGCCTCCCGCTACTACACCTTTTCCCCCTGTGTAAGAGCCTATTCACACAACGCCCATGTCATTCCACTTTTAGCTGATGGGCCAGAACAGCAGGAATGTGGAGTTTTACCTTTTCGATACATACAGAGAAAATGAAGCTGCCAGCCAGGCCTGAGAGTTGCTTCTCCACCAGCAATTCCCAGCACCTTCCCGGTGGGCCCCCTTTGGCCTGACCCAGCAGAATCTCCTTACGTTCTCATGTCGGGTTGGTGGCATCTCCTCCTTCCACTGTGTGGACGCACCCATTCCAGAATGGGGTGGGGGACAGAACATGGGCAAAGGAGGCTACAGGAGGTGGAGGAACTCCCATCATGGTGACCAAACGCTCAGCCACATGCTTGGTGTCTCTTCCCAACACACCTCATTGTGCCCAATGTTATTGTCCCCCCCCCCCCGACTCCCTGCCTGGAAGCCACCAACCCTGGGCAGCCCCTTACTTACCCAGCTTCGCTGCTCTGGTCCTCTTCCTCAGTTGGCCATTGTCGCCTGGTGGGTCCTTGCTCAGCCTCCTGCGATGGTTGCCTTTTAGAGGTGCAAATGCCTTGATGAGTCATAACTAGATTTGGTTCTGGAACAGGCGTGACGTCAGCTTGCCCTGATATTACTGTACAAGCAGGAGGATGTGGTGAGGACATGAGGTGAGAGAAGGAGGAGGAGGTAGTGTCCTCAGCCAGTTCCCCTACCCTTCCCTCCTCCCCACAACTGAAAGCAGCATCCTGTAGGCAGACAGCTTTGCAACCTGCAGGTAAAGCAGTAGCCAGCGATGCAGGAGAGGCGGTTAGGGCACTGAAGCCTAGAGCAAAAGCCGCTGGCTGCTTTTAAAAAGCAGAGGAAACAGGACTCAACCAGGTGGCAATTTGCAGCCTGCAGCAACCCATGACCTTCCGTGGCCAAGAGAGAGTTTGCCACGCACCTCCTCCCCATAAGCCCCATTCAGGTGTGCACCACCAAGTGCATTGGGGGAAAGTGGGAGCACGCTCGAGGATCCCTACTCTTTAGGGCCCATCTGTCACCTGGCCCTGTCATGTCTTCTGTCTCCTGGCCTTGTGTAGGCTCCCTGTGAGATCTAGAACCTTGAACATTCAGGGAATCCACATGAGCCCACTAGGCTCTTCTCCAGCACAAGGAGGACCACAGAGATGGGATGGAGGGGATGGGAGATATGAGGGTGGTGTGGCTCTTTCCCTAACAGCTATGGGAGGGCCTGGCAGCTGCAGCAGGCTCTCAAGAATCTGCCTTGGAAGGCAACAGTCCTTCTATGCTCAGGAACTCCCTGCCAATTGAGATCAGGCTGTTCTGTTTTTGGTGCCTGCTAGAAATTGTTGTGTTTAGGCAAACCAAGCGTGTCATTTGATTATGTATATTTGCTCTTAAACTCTATTGACTTTATTAAAAAATTTATTAAAGATTTTCTTGGATTATATGCCTTGTCTCTTTTTTTCAGGTTGCGAAGTATTTACAGTGGTACCTCGGGTTACATACGCTTCAGGTTACACACACTTCAGGTTACAGACTCCGCTAACCCAGAAATAGTGCTTCAGGTTAAGAACTTTGCTTCAGGATGAGAACAGAAAACGTGTTCCGGCGGCGCGGCAGCAGCGGGAGGCCCCATTAGCTAAAGGGGTGCTTCAGGTTAAGAACAGTTTCAGGTTAAGTATGGACCTCCGGAACGAATTAAGTACTTAACCCAAGGTACCACTGTATTACAAATCAGTTACATTTGTTGTGAGACATTAGTGTTGAGTACAGTATAAGGTTGGGGGAGAGGAGGGGTGGTGTGGTGGGGCTTAATTCATTTGTATAGTGAACGTGTGGGGTTTTGTGTCAGCATCAACTGGGTAGGTTTTCTTTCTGTTCATTTATTACATTTCTTTGGTTGTGGGAGGTATTGGGGGGCAGGGTGTGGTTGGTTGTCTGCAGTGGGATCTTTTGCATTGGGGGAGGGAGGGCTTGTTGGGTCAGGTAAGCCAGATTGATTCGTATGCTGTCAGTGGATTCTTGTTGTTGTCTTGTTGGGCTGTGTACTGTATGTGATAAAGGAGAGCCATTCTGGGGTGAAGGTGTCTTCTTCTATTTGTCCCTGTGACAGTTTCAGTTTGTTGGCTAGCCTTTCTATTAAGGTCATTTCCCATACAATTTGATACCATTGGCCATGTTTACTCCTGACAGGTCTCTCCAGTGTCTGGCTATGTGGTTTTTGGCTGCTGAGAGTAGTTGGGTTATAAGCTCTGTGTTCTAGGACGATGTTCAGTAGGGCCAGTTATGGGGTGAGTTCTAATACCTGTTTAGTTATTTTGCATACCTCTTGTAGGACTGCTGTCCAGAAGGGTTGGTTTTAGGGCATTCCCACCACATGTGGAAGTATGTGCCTGTGGAGATGCAGCCTCTCCAGCATCTTGGCAAGTTTCCTGTGTGTATCAGCACCAGTTTACATGGTGTTAAGTGCCACCTGTAGCTGAGTTTCAGAGTGAGCTCCCTTCTTTTGGCTGATATGGCCTTAAAGGGAGGTTTAGCCCACATTCTAGTTCATTGGGTGGGGTTAATTTCATAGCCTACGTTGTGCTCCCATTGTTCTTTGATTGCGTCAAGGGGGTTTGTGGGATTTTGGAACAGCATTTTGTATATTGTGGATACCATCCCTTTGCTGCGTCCCTCTGCTGTTGGGAGGTTTTCAAAGGTGGCCAAAAGAAAGCAAAACAATACATTTGGCACCTGCTGGGCTGCAGGAGTTGCTGGAAGGAGGTCTACAAGATGCCATCCTACCACCTTAGGGACTCCACTCTGGATTTGTGTAGGGTTTACTCTGTAGCCTTTTCTTCTCCTGAATATGTTCTGCAAGGCAGTGAGTACAGTATTTACTAACAAAGACTTTCTCACAAATGAGTATAGCTGCAAGGCAGTGCAGGTTTAAGACAAGAGTTTACTTTCTCCTAGCTCGGCTACCTTCCCAGGTTGACGAGGCCCATCTGCCCTAATTACACTACTGTCAGGTAAATGGCAATTATCGAGTCAAGACTTGCTCAGAATAGGCGCCAATTAATCTAATATACATTGCACTATGCTTCAGTGTTTCATAACAATATACCTATACTTTTGAAGGTGTAGTAACACACCACTCTTCTTTAAATGTGGTTATTTTATCTTCCGATTATCCTCAGCTGTATTGAGCATGACAATCAGCATCCCTGATGGAAGCAGAATGTGAAAGGCAGCCAGATTCTATGAAAAGGGAAGATAGATTACAGCTGAACTGAAATGCCCTAGCATGGCAGGGATGGTAGTATCCACCCGTTCATAGAAAGTACCTTGATCCAGTGATGGCTTCTGTCAATGGAAAGTGGGTGGTGTTTTCTGCTGGCTTTTCCTCCCCTGTCTAGCGGCCTGCTTCTCCTTTACCAAGCTTTTTCATCACAAGAGTTGTGAAGCATTAAGTATCAGATGAATCAGAGAATGGTAGAGTTGAAAGGAACCACAAAGGTCAACTGGTCCAACCCTCTGCAATGCAGGAAACCTTTTGCCCAACGTATGATTAGGAGTCTGATGCTCCACTGACTGAGCTATCCAAGGAACTTTAAAGCTCTAGGTTAGGGCCAGTTAGGCGGCAATTCTAGCCCCATTTACCTGGGAGTAAGCCCTACTGAATTCAGTAGGAATCACTTCCAAGTAGGAATGTTTAGGTTTGTACTGTTATAGTCTACAGAATGAATGGGTGTTCTGTGCTTGCCTCCACCAGAAAAAATCCTGGTTTGTTTTTTCTTTTTCTTTTGGACGGCAGGTTTTTTACTATCCAGCATATAACTGGGTGGGGCTGGAACAAAGGGCAGAAATAGCAGAAGTGTGGAGCGTGGGCTGCTACGGAAGGCCCAGGGTTGCTACCAGCTGCCTGCCCGCCCACCAGTTCAACAGTCACCTCCCAACTTCACGCAAATCAGGCTCTTCCTGGAGTCAAGTTCTCTTCTGTGAATCAGCTGGGGGCTTTCCACATCTGCTGCATGCTGTGCTGCACATTTTGCTCACCAACCCAGTGAAGGGGAGGAGTGGCACTTTGGGAATTGAACACAATTCATGCCGAGCAGCAGGGGACCAAACTAATGCGCTGGGCAAGGGCCCTTTCTCATTCTAGGGTTTAGCCAGGGACAAGAGTGGGGTGCTGCTGCTGCTGGGCGCAGCTGGCTGGTGTGGATTTAAGGTCCTCTGTGGCCTGATGGAGGATGGTGAGCTGGGGGCCAGCAGGTTTAGAGCTCCCTGGAGGACTGCTGCCCCCTTGTGTCCAAGAGTCACTGCAAGGCCAACTGGGAGCTCTTTGAGGAGCGTTTTAAGATAAGGGAGTCAGCTAAGGAAGACAGACCCTGCCTCCATGTAGGTGTAGTATGGCAGGGACCTCAAATCACTCAGGACCCCCAGCAATGGAGGAATGACATTTTTATATTGTACAGTTCAAATCACGCCTCTTAATCAGCAGGTAATTAAACTTTTGCTTCAACCTGCAGAGGGTCCAGTCCGCACGCAGTCTACTGTGCCTATCAAATCCTGGCTGAACCCCGTGGCTCAGAGTAAGCCAGCAGCAAGAGCCTGAGAGCTGGTTATGCATTTAAAAGGTTATGCAGATTTATGCAAATATGCTTCAGCATTCATGTTCTGTACTTGAATGTTTCTAACCACTTCCTTTCTTGTGAAGCTTCCATTCGCCTGGATAGCTTCTCATCTTCTCAGAAGCCATTCATTCTACAGGTACCTGTGAGACGCGGGTGCCAGAATGGTCCACCTGGGCTGCCCACAGCCACACAGTCTTCTCTTCGCCAGCTGGGAGCAGCTGCCTCAGCCTCCATGGGGGGTCCATGACAGGTCCTTCCCCATGCAAGCTGCAAGCTTCTTTTCCTCCTTTTGGAAATGCCGTCCTGCCTATATCACACCTTGAGTGGAATAAGTGCAATAAAGCTGGATCATATGGATAAAAAACTTTAATGCTAGAATAGTGTTGTCTCAGTCACTTGGCGATACTTCCTGGCATCCCCATCACCAAAAGCAGTCCCAGAGCGTCCCTTTATTCAGCCTGCTTCCCCTCCTCTTATCTGATCTCTGGCAGAGGGCACAGGAAGTCACACCACCATGCAGAGACCTTGTTGCTTGCTATGGATATATGAAGCAAGACCTCCTTACCTGTATAGAAGCAGCAACAAAAGAAAGGCAGGCAGACTGTTCTCTGCAAAAACCAAGGCAGTGCCTGAGCAAAAGCTGGCCACTTGCTGGATTCAGAGCCTGTCAGCAGGCAGAACCGAAACACTTGACAGGCAGTGTGGAATCCATTGCAGGTCACTGTCCAGTAACTTGAGCCCAAGAACAACTGGTGCTCCAGCCCCCAGCCCAATCTGGGTCAAGAAAGCACCTATCCCCCTGAAGGTCCCATTCATGTAAGAAGTGCCAAACGCAGCCCCTTGAGTCCAGCAAATTGTCCTCAGAGTTTCCACACAGATGCAGGTCTACAAGCAGGAAGGCGCCTCTCCTTGCTGGCCTTTGGCTTAGTCCTCTGTTGGTAATAAGGGCCCTTCCCTACCTGGGCTTAAAGGGGATGGTGAACACCTTTTGTCCCTCCTTTAATTCCCTCTCCCATACATCCTCCTCCTCTGACTGCAGTCCCATAGCTCCTCCTCCCTGAACCCCCAAACCCTATATGCGGTTGCTGCTGCTTTCCTATTTACAGCATAGCGGATCTCTGGATTTAGGGAGAATTCCACCTGGAGGAGGTCACTGCCTGGTTCAGGCGGAATTAAGGAGGTACAAGGGGCCTCAGGGGTATGAAAGGCCTTTGTCCCTGGCCACATCTTCCCTAAAGCATCCATCGGAAGCCACCTGTTGTATGTCAAGGTCCGCCCCGCAGGGTGCACTTGCCCAGGCCAGGTCTCTTACTTCCTGAGCCCCCAGCCAGGGTGAAAGAGGACCCTGCTCACCCCAGTGGCTGCTGTGGGGCTGTCCTGGACAATGCTGAGCAAGGGCTTGTAAGGGGACTGCCCATCTAGGCCGCAACCAGCGCTGCCACTCTTGCCCTGGGGGGTTGTGCCTTCCTGGAGAGCTGAGCTGAAGGAGCGGTAACCAGCCAGGAGGGAGGCTGCTGGGCAGGGGCCAGACTTCCCTGGGGCATGCTGGGAGGGGCTGCCTGGCCTTGCCGCTTGCTCTGCAGCTGCCATACAGGAGGAAAAGCAAAGCGAGTCTTGGGCTTCTGGGAAGACACCCTGGAAAGCAGGGTGCAGGCTGCCAGCCACAGGTGCAAGGCAAGGCCCTGAGTCATGCCTGAATGGCTGGATTTGGTCCCTGAAAGGAGAAAACTCCTCTTGCTCCTCCTCCCAGACCTGGCTGAAGCCGGCCATAGGCTCCGCCACCAGGCTGCTGAAACACTTGTAGCCCGAGGGCTGGGGGGCGGCTGTGCTGCCACCCCCCCCTTGCAGACAGAGTCTGTCCGTGGTGACGGGTTGTGCCTCTGGGGAGAAGAGGCTGTGGCTGAGGGGCAGTTCCAGGGCAGCACTGCCTGGCTGGGACGAAGCCACTGTCTCTGTGCTGGTGTTGTGATAGACAGGTTTGGAAGAGGTCTCCAAAACACCACGGTGCTTGTCCAGCGGTGCGTCTTGAGAAAAGGAAAAAGCACTCTGCATGTGCCCCAGAGCCTGGTCCTTGAGAAGTGGGTGCTCGTCCAGGATACCGGTGCCCCCACTGCTCAGGTCCCCACTGAGAAGGTCCCTGAAGAGCTTGGCCACGGCGTCTTCATGAGGGACCTGGCAGCCTTCCTCTTTCTGAGTTTCTGGCTTGGCAGATGCAACGCAGTTGTGAATATGCACAGGGTGTTCAAGGCCCATGTTTCCAAATGGCACCACCGCTGCTGTCACGCCAGCAGCCACTTTGCTCTTGGCGGGGTTCGGAATCTGGTCCCACCATCCCTTCTTCACCCTGCAAAGCAAGAAAGCGCCACCCGTCAGTCCTTCCCGGCCCTCAGAAAGGGAGAGACAGGGCTCTGCAAGGGCTGCCTCCCCTCCAAACATCAGGAACCAATCTTCCCCCTTCCGAGGTGACTAGCAGCCAAATGCATGGTTAAAAACACCACGTGAGAGAGCTGAGGAAGACTGTTTGGCTGGAAGGAGGATGAGGAGAAGACTCAGAAGGGACAGGGGCCGCTTTCCTCCTCCTTTCTTGTCAGGGTTGCAGGAAAATGCCTCTGCCAACAAGGCCTGCAACCTTCAAGCAGAAGTGACCATTTTTTAATTTGTTTTGCTGTGGGCAAAGGGCAGCCCTGGAGACAACACCTTGCAAGGCACCCAAGACCTACCTGGTGACGCAGAAGAAGCTGAAGGTAGCCAGGGCCATGATGAACACACACAGCAAAGGGATGAAAATCCAGAGGATAGAGCCAGGCCTTGGCTCAATGTCTGGAAGGCAAGAAGCATTTTGGTTATCTGGGCATACAATTCACCCTGATACCTGTGGGAGGCAGGCTGGTTGGCTGGCTGGCAGACAGGCACCCACCCACCTGGAAAGGGGGCAAAAGATCAGGCTCAACGACCAGAAGCCTCAGTTGACAAAGGAGCCCAACTCACACAGCTGGAAAGAATTTCAGGTGATTTGCAGTATTTCCTTAGGGTTTTATTTGCCTGTTGCCTTGTAGGGATGTGGTGAGGTTTATTTGTTGGTTTTAACTTGTCTCTTGTTAGGGGAATTGCAGCCTTCCAAGTCCTTCTTTTGGAAAAGGAGTTTCCCAAATTGGGATGTGGGGATGGGCACCGACAGGCACATTTAACGCCTCATGTGTCTGGTTTCTCCTACACATGCTAATCTAACCTTTAACCCCCTCCTGCAGTTTCAAGCTGGTTTCCCTTCAGCCAGACTTACCTTGGGCTGGGGAAAGGGGTCCTTGGGTCACCCAGCACCACCAAGGTAAGGGGCAGACAGGATTTGTACTGCTTATTATTCATGTAGCACCATCACCGCACACAGAGCAAGAGAAGCAAGAAGGTAGGTCTCTGTCCCAGGTAGTCTATCATCTCACCTTTGACCAAGGAAAAGACAACAGGCAAGGAGAAGAAAAGAGAGGAGAGCAGAGGAGGTGGAGGAAGCACAAATACAGCTACAGGCAGTATACCGTGAAGTTATATGCAGAGAAAAACGAGCAGATAATGAGCTTGATGCAGGAAGAGGGAGCACCGGTGGTAGCGGGGCCTGATGTGCTGTGGCACCACACTGAATCTGCTAACTTCACCCAGGGGTCTGCACCAGAGCTGCTTTTAGCAAGCCTACCCAGGGCAAGCAATCAAAGTCACTGTGGAATCTAGAAGGTCTTTCCAGTTATTTGTCTCTAGCCTGGCAAACTGCGACTGCCCCCTGCCTCTCCGCCTGTGTTGTGCCACTGATCGCTTAGTGCACTTTCATGCAGAACATTGTGCCACCTTCTTCTACTAAAACAAGTCTTCCAAATGACTAGTATCATGTGCCTTAGTCTTCAGAAAGAGGTACTGTCTACAGAAGAACATTGTGATGAAATAAGTGAGAGGCCAGCAGTTTAATTCGATGTCCAGCTTGACTGGAAATGCAAGACCTCAGCAATGCGGGAGAAATGCTGTCGCTCACTCAAAGGGGCTGGATGGCGCACAAACGTTCCTGCGGGTGGGGTGGGAGTATTTCACAAATCGAGGAGGTTTACAGAATCCAGAAAAGAGAGAGCCCACAATGTGGAGCCCAGAACACGCAGGGGTGCCAACTGAGATGCCAACAGATTGTTAATAATAAACAGGTGCCTTGCGCAGCCCCTGCCCTAAGCACTTACCGTTTTTCCATGTGTACTCAGCGCTCCAGTCACTCCAGATGCCCCTGAACAATATAATTCTCTGCCGCACTTTTGCAACATAGGTGGTTCCTGGCATGAGGTTATCGTTGAAGATTTTATAATGAAAGCCGTGCGTAGTGTGTTCGTGTAACTTTGGGGGGGGGGGAACAGAAGCAAACAGGTTTACATTATGTGGTCCTTCCCACGCCACAGGAAAACACTGGGAGGGGGTTCTTCTGGTGAGTGGAATTCTTCTCTTTCCCAACTTTCTATGGAGGAAGATCATTTTGGGATGTGGTAGAAAAGCTTTTGGACCCTTATGTGACAATGGACAAGGCAATTAATTTCAGAGACCTGTTTCAAGACAAGCTGCAATGGAAGCTTTGTAGATGAAGTCAAGGGGCTTGAGACCAAATGACAGAAGGCTCCAGGGTGGAAGGATCTCCTTCCCTCCCTGCTGAGTCTGGCCATTTCCCACCTAAGGGGCGGCGTGGGGAGGGGGGGGGCAGCCACAGCCAGGGACCCAGGGCTGGGCTCATTCCTCCATCCAGGCAAGCAAGCAAGAGGTGCAATTCAGCCCAGCCAAAGCACTAGGAGTGTGTGGAACAGGACTGAGGTGGGGGAGGCCTGGCCTGGACAGAGCCCCAGGGGCCAGGTGAAAGAGGCCTGGAGGGCTGCATCTGCCTCCCTTCCCTTAGGTTCTTGGGGGCTGGTGGCCCTGATCTCAAGCCAGCCCACTGCTCTTGTGTGCCCCCCTGGTGAGGGGCATATAATCATTTGCCAAATACATCTAAAGGCTTTTGGGCCTGCAGTTCGCTGGATCTACAGAGCTGCCCAAGGAAAGTGTTAAGGAAGGGCAGGAAGGAAGATGCCATGTCAACTGGCATGAGGCAGAGCGGGGGGGGGGGGCAGGGGCATTCTGAGGCTTTCAGGGGCCCCATCACCTTAACCTCTGCTCAGGACATAGAAGGTCCGCCCCCCCCCCGCAGTGTATGTGATTGTTTTAGCATTTTTAATTTTAGACTTAATGGCATTTTTAAACATGGATGAGC